AAATACAAAATCAGAATTGAGAAATGGATTAATGGAAGATCAAGACTTACAACTCTGGGAAATATATAAAAGGAAATGATCTAGTATTTTTCCTAGCTACATGTATTTCCAAAGAAAGAAAGAAAAACCAAAGAAAGAAAGAAAGAATTCTTCATCTGACTGCCCCTTTATTCTTTATGCCTCTAGGTTTTCTATTGAAGCTTCATAACCCTGATAGCAACAATCTTTACCACCTCCTCAAGGCCTGTTTCAGCATGGTCAAGACCTGCAAGTCTCAGTCTGCACATCCTAAATGGACTAACTGGAAAGCAGAAGACACAGTGAACAAGGTGAGAATAAAGCTTAGGAGAAAATATGTATTTGCATTTACTGTGCACCCATGAGCTCCTCTAGAGCAGGTCTGAAAGCACTGCCTGTCTTCTCAGTTATAAATGTGCGTATTTGAACACCCTCCCTTCGAACACGGGCACTAGCTGGCACAAACCTCCCTCAGAGGCACCTCATGTAGAAGAGACAGAGCTAAAGTAGATACTGGGAACAACCTACAGGAATGGAACAAGGGCTGCTGCATTTCAGCTGGATTTTATAGCCAGTGTCCTTAATGAGGCAAGAGTTACCTAATTACAGAAACAACTGGGAGATCTCAGGGCCGGGCAGCATGCTGCAACTGAGGAGGCTACACAGACTTGTCACTGAGTCATGAGAAAGTAAGAGAAGGAGAAAAAAAAAAAAAAAAGGTGAAAGCACAGCCGTTTCCCATTTGTTGTTCCAAGAAATCCCACTGCAAGCAATGCAACTCACAGTCACTCCACAAAAGCAATTTGGGCTGCATATTTCTTTCTTTTGTATCAATCCACAAAACTGCAGAGCTCAGGAATTTGTTTGAAAGACTGCACAGCTGATCAACAGGAAGGATGGGGGAGCAGAGCCTGCTTCTGCTCCCCGTTACGATTTAGTGCAGTGACACCACTTCCCTTCCCTTCCTTTTGCCCAGAGACCCCAGTAAGTTTCATCCTGTTGAGAAAACCCTGTGACAATCTCCCTCTCCTCCAAATTATGAACAAGTGGTGGGGATGTGCCTTGCAGCTGGAGAGGCTCTGAGTCAGCATTCACAGGCAGCAGGCCTCTAACTTCCTCTACCAGATGTCTACAGCAATGTGGCCGCCTCACCGGGGAAAAGTTTTAGAACTGTTGAATCTTTTCTGAAAGTGTATTATCAGTTGCTCTATAAAAACTTTTTTTTTCAGTTCCATTCTGGTATTTGCAAGGATCTTTACTCAAATCAGAAATTGATTATAAAAAGAATTGGAGTAGCTGCGTATACATGCTGAGCAAACACAGCAAACCTGAACAGAGAACGTTTTTTCCACCAGTTTCTTTAAGTTGCAACCTGTAACTAAATTTACCTATGTTTTAGATAAAAACCTGACTTCAAGTTGGCAAGGATGTGTTTTTTTTTTAACCAAAATTAGAAATGTATTTATTAAGAGCAGAAAATGTGGAGAAGTGTCAAGTTTGCTCATTTGATTTATCGGACACGGGCACATACAGAAGTTATCATGGGATTATCAAGTTTCACTGGGATTATCAAGTTTCCCTATGTCTGCTATGTAATGATACAGTTATCCATGAGATTAATGCAAGCTGATTTGAGGCAACCTCCCCTGCTATGAAGCAGAGGTAGGTCCATCACCTGGAATCCACCCATGGCAAACCACATACAAAGAAAAGACCCTCAGAGAGCTCTTGCAAAGCAGCTGACACACAGTAGCTCCAGTGCCCATGCTTCCACCACAAGGTCTCACAAAGACCCGTGTCTCTTCTACAGCATCTCAAAAGCTGCTGTGATACAGATAACAAGGAACGTTGTGTGGGACCACTATCTAGTGGACTGTGGGTTTCCTAAGCTATTCTGACAAGGTTTACAAGTCTCGGTGCAGCTTTTAAGTTTTGCTCATAGTGGTTATCAGTTCAGACATCTATAAAATGAACGCAAGAAGTCTCAGCTTTTAAGCGGTTTAAGCAGTGCTTAATAGGAAAATCCAAGGATTTTCAGCAAGAATCGGATATATTTGGACCAGCAGCATTTACAGTCTGAGGGCATTTATCTTGCAATAGCATCAGATATTTGAACTGTTCTGTTCCACTTTTCCTTGCCTTCTAACAGTCCTGAGCTGAAATGGCAGCAAGACTCAAACTGATCCTAATCAGCTCTTCTGAGTAAATATTCACATGTAATTTGAATAAGCTAGGTAAAAGGACTGTAACTGAATTAGCCATGGAAGACTTTAGCCTGGCAAGCTCCTTCCAGCTCATCAAACATATCTTTCACTTAACAATTGCTTTACTCTTACACAAACTTAAGTTCACAGACGTAACTGCGTGGTAACCTATGTCCCAAATGTTTTATAAATTACATCTCTTTATAGATATATCTGCTGCTAGTTTGCAGAAACAACCCTGTGGATAGTTTTAAACAATTCAGTCATTCAGGGAATTCAATATTCAGCTGTCTTCAACTGACAAGAATTCTTGCCTGAACAGGGAAAGGCATACAGGATTTTAATACATTTAAAATTTGATAAACGTGAGACACCGTTTATGCTTTAACTAAATATTAAATAATCAGATGCAGGTTTTACTCAAGGTGCCACAAACACAGCCTAAGAGAGAAAGAGATGTGACTGAAACAGATATACGCTGTGATTTAATGTTTGCACACCAGGAGAGAGAAGTACATTGCAAATTGTTAGAGGAAAGAGAACAGTAATCCAAGGATTTTAGTTTGGGAATGTGAACAATTCACAACAGGACAGTTCCACAATTTAGTCACTCCCACTCTCCTCACAAAAATTATAACCCTTCAGCTGGGCTAAATGGGTATCTTGCATATAATCCTCTCAGTCAGAGATAACTGCCTAGCACCTTTGTGAAAACTATTACCCATTTTATGTCAGGGTGCAAACTGCCTCAGGTGCAGGATCCCATTCAAATCTCTATCTAGCTGCAATGCTGAAAAGCCTGTGGAGCAACAGTCTCTCCTGTACCAGAGCTGACTCTGACAGCAAAGATGAATCTAACTGCTCATCCAGCTGTTGACATGTGCAAAATTCAGACCTCTTATACAAAGATGAACCACTGCTAGGTAAAGAAACATATGTTAGTCCAAAATAACAAAATTTTCCTCTTTGGTTATAATTTACCTGGAGATATAGCTCTGTGGAACTGATACATGTCTTCTCCAATGAGTTCTTGTGCAACCTGCTTAATCTTCCTTCTAACAGCATCTAACTTGGCTTCAGATTCATTTAGTATTTCTTCACCATTAGGAGCACTGCAATCATAAAACAGAAACTGATACAGCTGCCTTCAGAAGAAGAGAAAATAGCTAAAATATTTTTACCAACCAATACATAATCAATTACATCAGGAAAAAAATAGGAAAGTTGATTAGCTTTCACTGAAACCTATTGTAGGTTCTGAATCATTTCCCTCTTGCTATGAAGATAATCAACCAACCATGCCTAGTTTTGGCAGCACGGTTCTTTATCCAGACTATAATTTTAACTGATACTTAAGTAATAGCAATGAGAAACACAGCAAAAGCTTAAAAAAAGTATTATAGAAAACTAACTTCTCAAAAAAAAAAAAGTATTTTGCTATATTATAGAGGACATGATCTATTTCACTCTTTTTTTTTTTTAAGAAGGTAATTGTGGATTATGCTGTTAAGAAACAGCTGTACTATCTCATCCACAATATACACTAGGCATTTAAAAATTAGTTTATCTAGTATACTTTTAACTCCCTCCTTCCAAATAATCTCGCCGTATTAGGCGTACAATATATTTTGGGACTACTGGTCTTGAAAAAGCATCTAAAAGCAAAGAGATTTTTGACAGTAAAGCCACAATGGTGGCTGAAAAAAAAAAAAAAAAAAACGGAGATGGAAGTAGGAACACAGCATGGAAAGCCTCTACTCTCTGGAAAATGGAAATTTTCTTACAAAACAGGAACCTAAAACTCCAAGTAGAGGGCATGTGGGTTTTTTTGCTGCTATTCTTTCCTCTACCAGTTCCCAGAGTATCTAGCCCCTGTAGAGGGAGCAGCTACTCACAATCAAGTGGTTACTAGAATTACCACAATACCCCTTTCATAACAAGGCAAAGTTAGAAAGAGGTCAACTTCTTAATCTCTTTTTATAAATGTAATCATATAGTTACTAATATAGTGGAATTGCATGGGTAGGTAGCAAAAGGTAGGTGAGAGCGGGAACAGGGAGAGTTGTTACAGTTGTTACATGTAAGACTAGTATCTGAAATATAAAGTAAACATTTTGTACAAGAAGCTCTGGAAAGATTAACATTTTGCCATTACTATTCTATTTCATATGCCATTTCTGACAATTGCTTTAAAACTCACGAGGGGTGAGTTTTAAACTCCTAGGTTGCAGCACCTGGGCCCTTCCCTTTTGCCCTGATGAGCTAGCGGGAACTGCAAAAACCAAAACGAGGAAGCACTCACCTGAAAGAAGGGTGCATCTTCCTCTTTCCTAGGTCTTCTCTTCCAGCATGCTGGAAGCTGGAAAGCTCTCTCTTCCTGTCATATCCTCCTGCTCTGATCCCCTTTGATACTTCAATAAAAAGGGCTAAGAAACTTCACTTAGCACCTTTTAATTCTCTAACTGGAGTGTGCATTTATTAGCTCACATCCAGCCTAAAGAATATTTATGGGAAGTTAATCAGGTCCCTCTTAACACTGCAACTGCTCCTCACAAATACAGAGGACACTGCAAGGCATCTTCTGGACGAGCATGAAACTCTTTGTACACAACGTGACTTACCTGGTAAACCTATGGAGCAGAAATATCGTTCTTTTGCTTTCAATGGTTATATCACGACTGAGCTTCACGAGCCGCTCGTATTTGTCGTGCCTGGTGTCGAGCTCCAGTTGAAAGGCTGCAGAGTCAAGGACAGCAGTAACAGGCACAGTGAGCACGTTGCAATAGCCAGGGCAAGAGCAGAGAGCCGGCGCTGTGACAACTGCTGCTGGCCTCAGCCCCAGGGCTGTCTCCCTGGGGACACCTTTCTTCCCAGGGAGGAAACAGGCACAGGACACAGCTGTTAAGGTCACCACCACCCCCCAGCTGCAGCTCCTGATCTGAGCACGTTTCTCACCGAGCAAAGGTGCGAAACCGTCTCTGAGCAGAGCACAATGAACCAGAGCGAGCAGAGCACTCGCAAGCACCCAGGCATCTCTATGGGATTTCAGCTCTTTGAATAAACTTGCTCAAGGACCACTGAAAAGCTGCACTACACACCAACTTCCATCCTTAGGCAACTAGGCATCTTTAAATTGTCAATCTTGAGCAGCAAAAAAGTTCTCCATTTATCAAATGGATTTATTACTACTTTTGCTTAATAAAGCAGGGTTTAAATACATGACAACCCTGACAAAGTTTTAAGGCATTGCATATAAGAGCTGGGCTTGATCAAAAGTCAACTGATTTTAATACTCATAAAAACTAAAAAAACAAAAGCAAAATGAGATCAATTATTTGAAAGAATGCTTCAATTTATGGATTTAAGTTATCTCTAACTAAAATGAACGGCTAGAAAAGTGAGCAAGTGTAATTGGTTATAACAGTGAAAGTATTACAAATGCTTCGCAGGTAACAGTAACATTTTTAGATCACTGTAACATATGTCCCGCATATCAGTTTTATGAAGTGTAAAAGGGTATGCGCTCATCTGGTTTCAAATTTTTTCTCAGAGAAAGGTTGTTCATCAGATTATTAAATACATCTTTCCTAGGAAATCCTATACTGCATGTTTTTATAATCAGGTCTTTCAAATTCTTACTTACATTTAAAAGACATCATCAAAGCTGATGATGGATTAACGTTCTCTTTTTCCTCTCTTCTTTGGCCATGTGGAAAATTGTCATGCTTCCGTTTTCTGAACCCCCCTGATCCTGAAAGCATGAAAAAATTAAATAAATAAATACATACGAAAGGCATACGTAAAACTCTAACCAGCTTTGTCACAACATGAGCCACACTGCAAGGCTCTCTCCAGAGCATTTCCAGTTCTATCCATATTTCACAGGGCACAATAAGATAACGAGATGAACTTATCTGCCAAGATTACTCTACCAACTGACATCATCTTTCTCATTAGCTTGGTACCTGCTCCATCACTTTCCTAGTAGAAACCAGAAAAACCCTTCTGGTCTCATCTCTGAGGATGGTAGGAGTCTTTTTCTTAGGGCCTTTACAACCCATTCATCTTCCCCCTGGATGGGAATGGTTGCATTTTGCTAGGGGGGACTTGGAGTTAAGATCTAGTCATGGAACCAGTTATCTTGTATGAACAAGGCCTACAGGATCAGCCAGAGGATTTTTTAGAAATTATTTTAAATGTTCAGCATGAGAAGGGCATATTTATTTAAGAGTACTGAAAGCTTTTCATTCCTGTGATTAGTTCTGCCATAGGGCTTCAGGAATGAGAACAGATCTGAAGGAATAATACAAGGAGATTATCATTACAAACTATTCAAGGTGATTCTCTGTGGTTTGGCACCTCTGGGTCCTTACACTCTGCCCATTCATCAGTTCCTTCTTTTATCACTTTGACAAAGCTCTTAGCTACAACTGGGCTTATATGTCTCTTCATTAGTCTCCATTTTTCCAACCCCTATAAAAAATCCCTTTTGGATTGTGTTTTACTATTGATTTCTACTTTGTGCTGCTTCTTCCTTTTGTCCCCTCTTCATCTGGGACTGACCCAGTCATTCATATTTCAGCAGTTCCTCCCTCTTACCTCCTCCTCTCTGTTGCAGTTCTCATTTTGTGTTCCTAGCAACTGACCAAACTCTTACATACGAGCACACCTTTTTGAATACACAGAGTTCTATCAATTTCCTTAAAAAAAGGAAAGGAAGCCACTTAAAGGTTGCAGAACACTGGACCTTAAAATGTTTCCATTTAATTGTTTACTATTATCAAACCAAAACCAGAAGTGGGTGTAGTTACTTGCTAAAAGAGGAAAGCGAAAATCATTTTTTCCCCCTACTCTTCTATGAGGACCTAAGTTCAGGGTTTTGTTTTTCCGGTAGCAGCTGAAAACATTAGAAATCCAGCAACTGAGACACCATGGAGAATTAAATTCTCTGCAGTTTTCCAAACATTGGACACATCGTGAAGAACAAAAAAGTGGGGGGAAGGGGGAAGAAAAAAAAAAAAAAAAGGAAAAACAAGTCTGCTGGGGATGCAGGGAGAGAAAGAGAAAGATGGAGGGACAGGGAGGGAAAAAGCTAAAGAGGCTCTACTACGTAAGCAACAACTCGACCATTAGAAAACTGCAGGCTGTGATAACAGTAACTTAATTTAAAATAAATAATAATAATAATAATTTTAAAAGTTCCTAGGTGAAGAGGCTGTTTCCTGGCTAAAAGGCAGGCCTATGAGACGCCTGGGCCAATTCCTCACACCGGCGGCCAAGTCAGCGCATTTAGACAGCGGGAGCTGCCACCTTTAGAGGCCTGGAATTCCGGGAGGGGGGATTGCTTTTTTGTCTTGTTTTTGTGTTTTCCGCCGGAACAACCTCCTTCTCCAGGGCAGGGTGAGCACCCGCGCACTCCTCCCCTAACACCCCCCAGCGCAGCGACAACCGCCCGGCAGAACAGCGCCCCTGCTCCGGGC